CTATACATATTTCTTAGAATAATAATTTTTGTGAGAGTTAGTGACCTGAGGCAGCATTTTTTTCCACTTCAACAAACTCCCCTAACGTCCTCCTCACTGTGTGCTGTCAAAGATAAACCTGCTTAATTTTCTTCTCTTTTTAACCCCATTTCCAGTTATTTTTGTCTTTTAAATCATTGCTTGGATGATAGATATAGTGCAACTAGTTTTTGTGTTACCATGACTCATGAAGATCAACAAACGTTTTTAATGAAGGGTTATTTAGCTGCGGAAACAAAACGTGTTTAAACTTTTCCTTATCTTTCTCATTCCATCCTAAAGTTGCTAAGAAAAATGAGTCAGAGCTTCCTCTAGTATTTCTGCTCCAGGTCATCTTAAGGTAATCGCTTTCTGAAAAGTGAAATCATGATCCGGAATCAGTTTCTGGCTCAATTAAGGCAACATTTTAATGCACTAAAATGAACCTATGCACTGTGCTTTCCTACATTTGTCCTGACAGTCAGGTGATCTATGAAGTAAGATCAATAAAGAATAAATAATCTCAATAGCATAGGCAAAAAAGAGAAATATTCTGATGTATTACTACTGCACTAAAAGTATTAATATTATGTTTTTGCAGCCTAACTAGAAAGCTAGTGATTGTTGCATTTCTCTTGCTTATGAAACTACCACACAGCAGAATCAGGCTCTAGGTTTCATTTCATTTTAAAGGGGTAAATATAAAATAAGAGTGGACTGATTTAGGTAGCATGGGTACATTTACTTTTTTTGATAAAATCTATGATTGCAGGGAGCCAATTGGAATGACCTTAAAGAAGACAGTTTGAAAGGTAAATCATTACATCTGAGGTGTATCAAATTTGTCTGTACGCTATTTGTTCTGACTATGTTTCACAGCAGTGGAAGTAAGATTTACAAATCACACCCAGAATCAGTCTGATGAACTCTTCTATGCCAATCAAATTACAACTGAAGTATAATGTATTCGTATAATACAGCCCATCAAAAGCAGATCGACTTTCATTAAACCTATGCTTAGTATATGCATATGCCCACCAAATTAGGGTTTGTTGCTTGCTCTTCCTTTTAACGGAAGAATCCTTTACTTTAAAATAGTCTAGTAGCTCTATAGCTCTTTTTTTTCATTTTGTCTAGTTTTGCAGATGACGAATTAATTTATATGACAAAAAAATATCCAGGCTTTTTCTCAAGCATTTATTTTATCGAGATCCTTTTTCGCTGTCTAAGTACCTGTGAGCGTATTTTCAGAGCTGGGCCTAGCTTGAGCCCTAGTGTGTCCAGTAGATGCTCCTCTGAAAGAAGTGGAAGAGTTTCGCCATCAATCATGTGGTCCTTGAACGTCTGGAGAAATAATTTTAAGTCAGAATTAAGTTATAAAGAAAAGAAAGAGAGAAAACATTTATAGAAATGGTTCCCATGACCAACCTGAGCATACTCTGAGCATGTCGGTATACTGCTAATGAAGTTGTAAACATCGTTCACTGTCCACTTCCTTAAGTCCTCTGGAACTTCCTCACCATTTAGAAAGAGGTTTGGTGGGCCTGGAAAACAGATACTGAATCTAAGTATAATAGATCTAAACAAATAGATTGCAACCACGTCTATTTCCCAGACTTACCACTTGGAAGAAAACCATTTCCTTGGACAGGGAACACATAAGGCATCCCTGTGAGAGCTCCACCGGTGGAGGGATAGATGAATTTTTCCTGGAAAGCCGAACACTGACTGGGTATGTCTTTATCATTGGAAGCACCGTTGGTAATATCTGAACATCCATCCTGAGTGGTTGCGCAAGTCTTACGCAGGCCCGCCTCCCCCTCTTTGTAGCTCTTCCTGCTTCCTATGGCCAGCTCAGGGTCTGTTTTCACCTGATGGTGTGTCTTACTCGTGCCACACTCCTCGCCCACATCCCCCTTTGCTTCTAACTCTTTCTCCTCTCCTGATGTCGCCTCTGGACTCTGCTCTACACTTTTGTCCTCAGTTTGACCCTTCAGGTTGGGCACCTGGTTCTCTGTACTCTTATGTACAGTAGGCCTTCGCCCAGCCCTACGACCTCTCTCTCTGTGCAGCGAGCTGATTGGTGGATAGGGGTTGGATGACATGAGTATGCTGTTGGAATGAAGCTCATCTAGGGAGGGACGGTGGACAAAGACCTCATGGCCGTCTGGCATGCGCTGGCGGCCCCTAAAGAGCATGGGGTTGGAAGGGTACGACATGGGATTCTCTATTCCCATCAGTCCTTTTTGGTGAGCATTCTCAAGCTCTTTCTGGTGCAGGATGGCGTTCATCTCCATCCTGAAAATCAGTTAACACAAACATGTCATGCATTAGTAAAAACTATATTTCTGCTTAAAGAACTGAATTAAAACATTGTTTTAATAAACACATAGCGGTGCAGCCTGATAGCAGGTTGAAATTTTTTTCAGGTGCCGATAGTTTTGCTCCTGCAATACCTTGCTATATTTTGCTTGTGAAGGAGCTCCTGTCGCCTGGCAACGTTTTCCATTGGTTCTGAGGGCAGGAAGCCATACCCACCTGAGAAGAAGAAAGAATATGAAAATAGAGAACAGGATGTTAAAGGTCAAAACAAAGCCTGAAGTTGTGTTAGTTGGGAAGCTGTGCTCACCTGGTCCTGGGAATGCTCTGCCAGGCAGGACATTGGCATGTGGTGGAAGGGGTGGACCGAGGTGATGTCCCATGTGAATCTGCCTTGCTTCGGATGTTACCATCTCTGCAGGAGGAACCAACTCCCTAATGAGATAAAAGTAGCAGGATGAGATGGTAGGCAGCGATATATTTGCAGCTAATTTAACAGCGTGTTGACAATTATTGCTAAGATATATTTTGGCCTTCGTGTTTTATATCTTTCTGTTAGTTTCATGATGCTGACATATTCCGGAAGTCATTCCAATATTAATGTGTTTCAACGTTTCAGAAATGTTCAAATGTTGGAAGATGCATTTCATTTAAAATGTAATCCTAAATAAACGTGGGTAGTAATAGGAATGGTTGTCTTAAAAAAGATCCTAACACATTATTAGCAGAACATAAGGAAAGGAGCTGTTGAAAAAAACAAAGTAATGTTCATTGGTAGAAACTCAAGGGGAAAATGACAAACATAATTACTGTAACCATGGCCACATTTGCTGCATTTTATTTTATTTCTTTAGAATGTGTTACTTGGATCTAAGAATAAAATCACAGGGACTTTACAAAATTTTACCTGCACGTTAGAAATCCAATGGGATTTGCTCACTTTAATCACTAACCTAGCCATACAAGCTTAAATAAAGCATATATCTGCATGTGCATTGTATTCATTCTGATACTAAAGTAAAGAGCTCACTAAATTGTCTGAGGTGCAGCTGTCACTACTGTTCAAACAGCAGCAGCCATGTTGGATTCAGAGGGAGTGGTTGGAACTCACCCTTACAGAGTCCAGAAACCTTCCTGTTAAATTTTCCAACTTTAGATTTGAGAATCCTGATTTTTATATTGTGGAATATTGGTATATATGTACATTTATACATTAAGGGGAAATAAGTATTCTGGTGGTGAATGAATAATGATAAATAATGATAAATTTAGGTACAGACCTTTCCATAAAACGATGTTCAAACTGTGTTGGGACCCCCTGTAACCTCTGTTGGCCCTGGGCGAGGATCTGTGGAGCCATGGCCATCTGGTTCCTCATTATCAGCTCCTGCCTCTGCCTTAGCTCTGTGAGAGCACAGAAAATACCAGTAAGAATGATCTGTAATGTTACTGTAAATGCTTTGCAGGAAGCTGCAATCTACAAAAATCGGCAGATAATACTTGATGCAGAGCCATAAATGTGTTTTGGCATAAAGTCCAGCTTCGGATGCTCACCTCCAGCCGACATGCCGTTGACCAATCGGTACCAGTGCTTCTCATCTAAAGTCCCCTGGTCACTCAGTGCTGTCATCTTCCTCAGCTGCTCCCGTGGAGTCATTACAGCACACCACCTTCAATCCAAAGTAGTGCTGCTCAAAACAGAATCAAATATATGGTTTTATTTTATTTTAAAGAAATGTGAACAGAACTTCCCAGTTATGAGGTATAAAGTGGATTGACCTTCTGATTTACCTAAAAATTTCACTTCAATTAAAAATATTTTTCAATATGTATAGCTTGGTTACATTTTCCCTGCTTGGATTTGCAGGTGATAAAATTGTACTCTCTTCTTCTCACCACTAGAGGGTAGCAGTTATCCTTTTTAGATATGAGCACATCTGCAAATAGAGCAAGTTTACCCTGCAAGAGTTTTTTTCAAACTTGCTTTTAGGGTGTTGTGCAACATTTTAACCTCTGTTCTCACCTTTACAACTAAGTAACAATTCTAAATCCCCCTTGGCTGTAACCTTCATCACAAAATTAATCTGTAAATCCAAATCCTTTACTTATGCAAAGGCCAGCAAGTATTCTCTCTTGTTAATGATTGTGTCCTACTGATATCCTAACAAATACATTTAGTTAAGATTTAAGTAAATTAACAAAGCCATAGACAAGCTTTAAATTTTCACATTGTTTTTGGCTCTGTGAACAGCTTGCAAAAATAAATTAGCCTCCTCTTATTAACCTACTGCATTGCCCAAATCCCATTACTAAATATGATACTGTAAACGACTCAGTAATCTAGTGCTACTAATCCAGGACAAGCCTGCGATATGCATCTGGATACATGAATATGAACCATTCTGTCATTGGCCACCCCTTCAAATGAATCCTCTTAGGCTGATTAAAGTAGCATTTGATTGATATGTTTGTCATTGTAGGAGGCATGTGTTAATGGTGCACTTTTATTATTCCTGATGTACCGTTCCTTCCAGACAAATGCTGCCACTAAAAATGCCCTGGGGCATCGTGCATTATCCTCAGTCCCTCAAGTTCCCTCTAAAAGCCATGTAATCTGAGGGCTGTAATCCTCGTGTTAGTCCTGCAACAGTCTGCTGCCTACATCTGCTGACCTTCCTGGCCCATCCCAACACCCCCCCTCCTTCCCATCTTCCCAGGCCCCTGCTACCCTTAGGATCCTATTAGCTAAGTCCTGGCTATACAGCACTTTAAAGGGATGTGTTAGAGGTAATCCGCACGTTTAGAGTTTTACCCTCAGCAAACCTTGCCAGTAAGCATCCCGGACAATACACCTCTAAGTGCTAAGCCTATTAGTCTCCATTAGCTCCCAGGATGTCCCAAAAACACCTTGGGGATAAATCTGGGGAAGCAATCGGTTTATGTGGAGCTATGTGGCGCACACATACGCACCATCCAGCTCTTTCCTTATCCTTGTCAAAACCACTAATATTATCGAATCAAATTAGATAATTTTTTTTCTTTCCTGTTTATCCTGAAACAGGAGTGGGAATCACAGAGTGGGTCCCAAGCTTTAGGTGTAATTTTGTTAAATAAAAGGCTAAAAATTCTTCCTTTCTTCTGATATGTGAATTGACTTGTGCAGAAAGACAATCCACATATCGACGTAACATAATTTTAGTAAAACTTGTAAGTAACCTAATATGGAGTAATGTAAATTTCCTGCTGTACCGCAAACATAACAAAGTTTTAAATTTCCAAATATAAAAGGAGAAAAAAAGGCTTAAGAACTAAAACAATTTTAGGAATCCTTTTTGTTTTTTATATCCCTTGGTAATGTTTGACATTATTACCTAAAAACCTCGAAGTTAAGAGAACAAATATAATGTAATTTTGATGAACTAGAGAGAAGATATAATTACAGGCAGAATCTAAATGCCCAGATGTAAAGTGATTAAGCAAACATGATAACTATATGCATTTTAATAAATGTTATGAAAGTATTGAACAACTCAGTGTTTAATAAAAGCAATGTACAAGCATGAGGTGGTTTAGGAAAGGCTGAAAATGGTTTTATTAAAAGGATAATAAGATGGAAGAAAGAGGTTAAACATCAATGGATGTTCTTGCTCACTGTAGATTTTTTTTTTCTTTCTCAGTGTCCTGTCTGACAATTTGGCAATAAGAATAATTGTATTGATGCCAAAAAGAGCCCAACAGATTTTGCTTTAACAAGTGGAGCAGTATGGCTTTCACCACAGTGTTGCGCTTGATTTATGCATGTAAATATCTTATTTATAATCAACGCAGTGAGTATTTCAAATTATATGGACACTGCAATGGGAAAGTAGAGCAGGAAAGAAAAAACAGGAAAAAGGAGAAAAGATGAAAGAAAGAGGAGATAAAAGGGAGAGAATAATAAAAGTTCTACTGTCTGCTTCGTCATATGCAAAGAGATGTAAAAAGAACAGCACAACCAACGGATATATGTAGTATAAGAGATACAGTAAAGTAACACCTTCATACCATTGCTTAAGAATATGTAGTATAATTTAATCTGACATATATAATGTGGTAGCTGAAGATAAAAATAGAGCCTTTCTGTATGGAAGTGAATCTCTAAGTACCTGGAACCAAGCACCTGTAGTTGTTTCTGAGAGTACACTTGCGCATGTAAAGTTTATCCAAAGGAAAAATGCTCAATAGTGGTTGTGAAGAGCCAAAGACCCGCCCCTCCAGAGCACGTAGGCAAGCGCCTGGGGACCCAAAACCCCAGATGCCCAAAGGGACCCCCAGAGCAAAAACGTCCAAGAGGGGCCAACACAAGAAATCTGCCACCCCACCACAGGATGAGGAGAGACGGCCCCGAGCAAATCCCCCAGCCGCCGCAATGCCGATCGCAGTTTGGTCACTGTAGATGAGTGTGTAGATATTTTTCCAATGGTTGTGTTCATTTCAGTAATGTGTAAAAATGACATGAATAAAGATGAGTATAGGTATGCTTGATTGTGTTTATGTTTATGCGTGCATACATTTTTATTTCTCCCTTATTGGACTTTTGGGATAGTTTTGATTTGTAAATAAAGTAGGAATAGGCTTGATTATCGGTTTTAAGGACTAGAGAAAGGAGAAGAGGTTTTATTAAAGAACTTCACTTCTTTATACCTCTTTTCAAACATGATCACTAAATTATAAATGTAATGTAATTATATATTATGGGTTACACATAATATTTGTATGTATTATTATTATGAATCTCATTGGACTGTCTGAAATAAATTCCTTTATTAATCATATATATGTATTGTTTAAGTTAAAAGTAATCATCCCTTCATCTATCCAGTCTATTGTAACACATAACACATGTGAAATCATGACAATAGGTAAGGTTCGTTTAATTTTTGATTTACGGAACAATAAATACTTAGATTTCTAAACGAAGCTAAACAGATGTCAAAATGTGTTGTAAGATAATCAAGCTCTGTTTTGAAGGTTCCAGGTGGAAGTGTGATTGATTACATTCTTATTTGTTTTGAGGTAAACAAAGAGTCCAGACTCTAGTAAAAAACTGTTTATCTATCTAATACATAATTCAAATAATAAATATGCAATTTAGTTATAAACTGCACAACTGAATAGTTAAATTTCATATAAAATAATCAAAATTGCATTGAATGTAATGGAAAATATAAAGAAAATATATGTATTTAAAAATTAATATAATTCATTAAAATATGTATTTTTTGGGGGTCGCCAGTCTGCATCACTGTTTTTGAGTTTTATAGTTAGATATCCTTTAAAATTAACGATACAGAAATATTTTATCTTTAAATATTTTTACCTGCTCAGCAATAAATGGGACACGCAAAAGTTTTAATAATTTGAACAAACTAGCCTGTTTTTTTTAATCATAAAGCGAAGACATAAAGGGTAGTTTGAATTTAGCTCATTAAAAGGACATAAAACTTAAAAACTTTTCAGCTTGATTGAGTTCTATTTTCATGATCTTGCAAAAATGTTTTTCTTAAGAAGATGGATTGTGTCCGAGCGTTCACCCTAACCCCTAAAACCCTGAATCACTATAGAGAGCAGCAACTATATAGTGGATTTTATAGTGAACTCAGTTAAATGATCGTTCAGACAGATAATCACTACTTTTCGCTCCCTGTTGGTCATGTAACTCTGCCTCCCCGCGTGGTGCCAGCGCCATCTTTGTTCTTTCTCCGCGCCACAGCAAATTCCATGATGCTTTACAAGGAGAGCTCTTGCAAAGCATTCTTGGATATATCTGCTCATCTAGTGACCATGGATGATCACTACTTTTAAAGGCGCATTTGTTCGAAATGTTGAATCCATTAGTTTTTCATCCACTGGTGAGACACTCATCTAAAATGGCTTCATCACTATATAGTACACTATATATAAAGCCATGATGCTGAGAATCAAATGTCAATAATGTAAGCAGTGACTCCCATCTGACATCACTCTGAGTCGGGCCAAGTTCACTGGCCAACTCGGACAACTTGCGGCCTACGATTCAGAAAAGCTGAATGTAGTGTCATGTGTTATAGCAAACTTTACTAATAATAATTGATTGGTTTTAATGTTGATTTGAATGACCTAGTGATTAGATATAACTGGCAGTTCTACTTATTTAATAAGTCTTCCCAAAGATTCCTTCATTCGCTGCATTTATGATATTAAAAATGCACTGAAAAAACAAAAACAAACAAACAAAGAAATGCTGCACAGAAAATGCTGAATTAGAATTCAGATTCAGGTTATTACCAGTTGATTTTTTTTTAACCATTGTCTAAATGTTAAACAAATATCACCATACTTAGCTAAACACCTAACACCCCCTTTGGTGACCAAATGTGCTAAATTAATTAACAACTATACAATCTAGGATCAATTATGCTGATTTGTAATTTTCTAAAACTGCATTTCTGTATTGACGCCACATTGGACACTGAACAGAACTAGCTCCAGGTTATGGTATCACTTTGCAGCTAAATGGCTAAAACTACCCCCCACCAGATGTCATTTAGAAATAGTTTTTTAGGCTAAATCTGGTCAGTCTATCATAGTCTTTATTTAGGGCAGAAATACTTTTTGAAAATTGGGCTGTGTTTGGTCAGTCTGATTTTGTCCCACTTTAGTTCAATAAAAAAGATTAATTCAACGCCATTCAACAATCTGAAAATTACAGCTTTTCAACTTTAGCATTTCAACCAAATGTAGAAGTTCGGACATTAATCACGTCGTATTTTCAATGTCTTTTCAACCAATTTTTGCTCATGGGTAGCACAGCTAAATAAACTCCTCATGGTATCCTTAGGTCTAATATAGTTGTTTTTTTTTCATTAGTCTAATACTTGTTCTCTTGACTTTATGTCCAATTGTTTGGTCAAGTGTAAACACTGAACAGCTAATCTTAGCTTGTCCTAACCTTCAGTGGGCTAAAAGGCTGATATTACCTGAAGTGAATTGTCTACAGGAATAACTTCACCAGTGCTTTCTTGCTGTCCCTGTTTAGTATTGCTTCTATGTGCAATTTTCTAAGTTCACAAAATCCAACCCAAGCATTTATTAAATGCATGACTTGAATAATGACTGCACCACTGGAGCTTTATAAGATCATTAAAAAAGTTTTTTATCTTTTCAAACACATTTGTATCATAGTGACATGAGAAGTGGGAACGTTGAACAAAACTATTTCTGATTTCTTGGCAGCCAATCAAAAACTAATGTTAGTAGCTAATTAGCTACTTACACTTTTCAATAATTGCCCGTCTGTATCGACCTTATGAGCTAATCTTTGGGGTAAAAAGTGAATGCAAAACATAAGCATTCCTACTAAGCAGGTAAAATGCTAAAGTTATCGTAATTAAACAGTTTTCCTCCACTAATCCCTGTGTTTTGAGTTTCGGAACCATCCCAACAATTTACTTATTTAAAAAAAAAAATAAACCAAAAAAGCTTTGCAAATGCTCCTTAATACAGAGAACAGTATTTTTGTTGAGAGTTTAACTTTTTCTTGCCATTATTACAAGTCACAGCTCCACATGTTTGACATTAAATTTCACATTACTTAGATGAAACCATTATTTAACTAAAAAACAAAAACAAAAAAACAAACAAATTAATTAACTAATTCCTGGAAGAGCAAGTGCTTAACACAAAACAAAAATAAAGTTTCTTGCAGTTAATTTCTTTTTACACGTACACATACAAGTGTGCTGACTAAAATGCAAACGCAATACATCAGAGGAATTGCATTTGCAAAAAAAAAAAAAAAAAAAAGGCTTGAGCTTTCATCATTTCATGGTTTAGACACCTTTAGGCAACCTTTAACATTCGCTTCAGCATTTCACTTCCCTGTCCTGAGGTAAGCTAGTCTTACATGCACATCTAAAGGGTCTTCTAGGTTAATGTGAGTGAAACTGGCATAAAAAAAAGAGAGACATAGAAAAAAAAATGAACAATCTCTGCTGTATTTCCTTCAGTAAGCAGAGGCTACACTGCAGCTGCCAAATCCCAGGATTGGACTTCTTGGATTTGCTGTTGCCTGGTTAATCTCATTACAAGAATGAATTAAAGAGAAAAATTGCTGACAACTTAGATGGAGTCCTGAGGAGGTCATATCAGACAAGACAGAAGCGATGTCTAGTCCCTTCTAATCCCCTAACACAATGCACGCAGTTGAAACCATGCAAATTATGTCAGTTGCATGAACCAAACTTAACTTCTTGAAACATTTGTACATTCCCAATAAGATTTTTATAAACTATTTCCCATAAAAAATGCTTGAAAACTTGTTTGTTTTTGCACATTTTCTCTAAGTATATCTGATACTATTTGAAAAAAAAAGAAGCTAATTACTGTTTTTGCTTGATAATGGCAATTTTAAGCCCTTAATTAATTGAATTGGCCTATAGATTCATTACTCACTGCATTGTTAATAGGTTCATGAAGTTTCTTGCTGATGCAATACGATTTTTCATTTTTTACATAACAGCAACATTACGGTAATTCTTAGCTGCTTATATAATATTATGCACCTATGGTGTTAACTCCTAAACAGCATACATTTATATCTATAGCAAGAATTATAAGAGACAAAACAGAACAAATAGAAGACTGTGATATAAAACAAAAACCCACTGAAATATCGAAATGAGATGATGTTATTGACTTACCTTTGTGTTAGTAGTATTTGCAGCTGCTGTTGTGGTAGTTCAGATGTAATACAAAAAAACAAAGCAAATTATGTAACAAAAATGATTATAAAGTATTTTTAAATATGTGAGAGCTAGTTTTTATTCTGTTTGTCCTTCAGCATCCAACTTGCAGACTGGAGTAAGCACAATCTGCTGCCAGCAAAGTGTCTTAACTAAAAGAGACCTTTTAAATACCGATTCATTTCATCTCTATTAGCTGGCTTTATCTCCTGCAGTAAGCCCTCCCTGTCCTGACATCACTATGATCTCCCATCCAACCGCCCGCTGCACCTTCAACTGATGTGTAATTACTGAAGCAGCACTGGTCCCTAAGCATGGAGTGCTAAACCTCTTTCAACGTTTACCTCACTAATCCCGTGTTAGCACTTTAGGCCACAGTTAAGACACCTAAATGCTTAGCTTCCTTTTTCAGTGGCAAAATGGCCAGCCCCCTCCTTCCATGCTTTGTGGCACCATGTGGAGAAACTGCGCACTGCTGTTTGTAGACCTCAACAGCTCCACTGATCAGTCTTGTAATCTCTTTTTTAACACATGTCTAGTTTGGATGTCAGGAGTATTGTGCTCCCCAGGGTGCAAAAGAGCTGACCCAAACATGCTTGGTGGTAATTTGTCAGAAATCCGACTGAATGTTGGCTGGATCATCCTCTCAGACCTCCTAATCTGACAGTTTGTGCTAACCAAGCTTAGAGCAGGGGCCTACACTTTGAATGATGTTTTCTTTAATGCCTAGTGAGGAGCTAGGTGAGCACAGTTGGTGGGCTACAAAGAAAATTAGCCGAACTGCAGACACAACCCGGAGGGCGTGGGGTGGAGGGGGAAACTATGTGTTTCTGATCCCCTCCTCTCAATCTGCAGCTGGTGGAGCCTTCATTATAAATATATATTATATTAAAACGGCCTGTAGCTTTTACATTTCAGATGTTAAACAGTAAACTAATATATTGGATCAAAAGCAGAATTATTGGCAGTGGTAGAGATATTATTATGAATGCCCGTCTCATCTTCAGCACACTTTGCTGCCTTGATTAACCTTAAATCAATTATAAACTAATGTGACATACTACAAGGTCTGTAAAATCACAGAATAACTTAAATAGAACCTCTCTGACAACACTACGTTTTACAAAAGACATTAGATGTCGACTTGGATGGATGGAACGACTTAGTCTCTACCGGAAAATCCTCAACGAAAATGAATTTGCAATCAACTTGTGACTTTAAGCGGTTGGGTTATGCAGCATGAAAGTAATTTAATTCAGACAGGAAAATCCAGCTCTTAATGTGACAAAATGAATAAATAAAGATTTGGAGATGGCTTATCCAAGAATTAACTTGCATTTTTTTTTTCTTTTCTAAATTGATTCATGTACCCCAGGCATCCCCAAAGTCGGTCCTGGAGGGCCGCTGTCCTGCAGGTTTTAGAGGTTTCTCTGCTTTAGCACAGCTGATTCTGATGATTGCAGTTCAGCAAAAGCTTGTTACTTAACTATCAATGTAAATCAGCTGTGCTGGAGCAGGGAAACCTCTAAAACCTGCAGGACAGCGGCCCTGGAGGACCGACTTTGGGGATGCCTGATGTACCCCATTCCCTAAATAAGATTTATCCTACTAAAACTGTCCTTTGTTTTTTCTCTAACTTGGTTCAATCTTAAAATTAGTTTCCAAATGAAACAAAAAAAAACAAAAAAAAAAAACAGGAGAATTAAGGGGTGAAATACTTGGTCGGGGGTGTTTTGTTAGATTTCTTTTACACTAGGTGATATATTGCTTTGAAACTGACAGACAATTGAGGACCTTATTTAATATGTTATGTTAACATTCCTTTTTTATTTTCTTTATTTCGTTTATTTTAGTTCTTTGATAGCTTTTTATTCATCGAAGTTCAGGCTAGTGCTGCCTGTTTTTAAAAGGATAGTTTTTTTGTTTGTAAAACTGCATAAGGCCGATCTATTAATCATTATGGCACAAAAAGGCTCCTCAATTTATGAGATTACTCACTCCTCAAGTATACATTTTAACAAAACAAATAAGTAAGGTCTAATCTTTAAGAGAGAAACATGCCAAACACATCTTGATCACATTTCTTCAGTTCAATCACTGACAAATTTGAAGGATAAAAATATTATATTCAACATCAACATATTTATAACATTAACAACGTGATCCCAAAAGAGCAGTGTGCTAAAAACGCTCTGTGATGTAGACGATCCACTGAAAACATGAGTCTCTTTAGTTTGGTTAGTTGTTTTTTTGTTATTTCCTTTCCCACTCCTTGTCTCTTTTTAACCCTGATACCTACTTGCTTTTATTTTAAAGAAAGTGGGTTGAATGACAGCCCAGTCAAGGAGAAAAAAAAAAAGCTGTGAAAGGCATTCAGAAAGTCTGGAGACATACTGATCAATAACTCTTTGAAAGTTGAGAACAGCATATGGCTCCTGGATGACAGAGTGATGATGAAGAGATTAAAGGGTACGCATAGCTACTACTAAACCACAGTAGTGTAAATAGCCAAAATCAGATACTGACATAAACTTTATAAAAAGGCACATACGCTTTTTTTCCTATAGCCTGATGTTATATTAGAATAAGCTTTTTATCTTTAAGTTATGGTAACAAAAAATCCCTATCTGCTATATACCTGAATAAGGAGAGTTGTTTCGTATTTCTATTTTTTGCAGTACTTGGGTTTTAAAAGGAATTGGCTATACACAGATGATGCTTTCATGTTTTTACAAGCTTTTAATAGTTTAATAAATATGATGAGTAAGATGGAGGCACACATGTGGAGGTGTATTGGGAAAGCAAAAACACCTCAAATAATGGCGTTCAATTCCATAAATTAACTCTTTCCTTTTTTGATGTGAAGTAATCAAAAGAAATCAGCCAAGACATTGGAAAGAGAGATCTACACCTTCAAAAATATAGTTCATCCTTTGACACAATTTCTTAAAGCCTGAACAGGCAGCATTAATATGTTCACACAATGATAGCACTGGGAATCCCAGGCTCAGGTATTTTTTTTTGCCTTATATCTTTTTGTAGTGGGTGAGCTTAAGAGGTGTGTGGTAAAAACTGCAAGTGCCAGCATATAAAATTTTATGTTTCACCAGAAGTTTTGACTCATTATATTAATGTAGTTATTTATTATAAACCTATTTTAGCACAATATATATTTATTCACATGTATAAATAAACATACATTTCTTTTTTCATGGTTTTATTCTGACAGGGCTTTAAGAGGAGAGATCATTAGTTGGACATTTGTCGGCCTGTGGGGATTCTTCTATCACTGACTCCACTGTCTGCAGCTTCTACTTGATCTATGTGCTTATGTGGTCATGGACTTTAGAAAACAATATTTAAGCATTGAATTGAAGCTGGGTAAAAATTGAAAAAAGGGGCTAATGTTCATCTTAAAATTTTGATTAAAAGATTGAAGGCTTACAAGCCAATTTTAGTACAACTAGTGCACCTAATAAAACCGATGGCATAATGAGTAGATAACATTATTTGGAAGTATTGGAGGAACATCTCAAGAGATCAAGAAGATATTGTTAGCACATATCGCTTTGGTACATATGGCCAGATGGACAACATTATGGAAAATAAATGTTGGTGAAAGCTACTGCAATGTTTTGACGTGGCTGTCATGAGGCTCGCACCAGAGTGATCCGCTCCAGAAACTAGACTGTACAGTAAAACTCATGGATGGACGGATGGGATGATCAAATTGATTCACAGCAGCCAAATTACCAGAACACATATGGCTTGTTGGAACATCATCAAACTGACCTTTGAGGTTGTTTAGCAGGATAACATGTTTATAGTAAATATCTCAGGTCCTTGAAGTGGGATATGAGCTGGTCCTTTAGTGGATCATCAGATTACGCTTCCAGCTTTATAATTTAGATGCCAAGTACACCTTGAAACTCATCCCTAAACACTTGAATGTGTTTGATTGAATGCAAGTCCATCTTATTTTGTTAACAAAGTATAGTACAGTTAGAGATTCAGTCAGTCAGAGATTCAGTCAGTCAGTATTTATTCTATTCTATTCTATTCCATTATATTTAATTACATACTATATTGGACAGATAGTTGGCGCCTGTATTTTTTACAAACTTTTGCTAGAGCTCTACATTGTTTTAATTATTATCATTATTATGAAGCATTCTATTTTCTTTGTCAATATTACCCATTGTAAAGTAGGTTGTGGTTTGAAAACGAAAAAGTTGGTAAATATTTCACATTAACTCACTCTACTGAACTGTTTTCAACACTGCAGTATTTGAACACCCTGTTATTTTGCAAATTCTCCCACTTAGAAATCATGGAGGGGTCTGAAATTGTCATTGTAGGTGCATGTCCACTGTGAGAGACATAACCCCCGCCGAAGAAAGATCCAGAAATCACAAGGTATGATTTTTTAGCTATTTATTTGAATGATATGTTAGGTTTGACACATTGAACACAGATGCACTTAAAGTCAGATCAGCCCAACAGCGCGGGAACTTCTGACCCAAAGTAAATAAAGGAAAATAGGCTACAGGTTATAGATGCATTGGCAACGAACTACTGAAGTGTCTTTCTGCTTATCAAACAATACTATAGTAGTAAAAGGTCAAAAACAAAATGTCACTTTATTAAAAGGTACATTTAATACCTGCTTTAAGATTGTTGTTTTCTAAAGTATATTTTAGCCAGATAAGAAAATCTATTCTATTTTGTTAAATAGAACTTTAGATATTCTTATCTACACATAACTTGAAGAATGTACCAATCTGTGTGAAAGCCTTTCTCCCATCAAATATCTCCTCTGTTTTTGCTTTCTCAAATGTTAAAATGATTAAACTCATTTTACTGTCATAAAAATAACCTGAATAAACACACATGGCAGATGTTAAGAAGGATTTTGTTCCAAAAGAAAAAACTGTTATCTTAATTGACATGACAATGAATAACGGATAAACAAGCTGAAAGGTACTGAAACTGGAAATGGATTTTAAAAGAGTATTATTATATATTTCTATTAGATTTTATTATAAGTTTACTACTGTTTTTATTTAATTTGAAATGTTAAACCTCTTCTCCTTCTTCGTCCTAGTAGATAATTCAAGAAGCCATTCAAATTTTGTCTATAACAATATGTTCATGTCCATGTTTATAGAGCATGAGGTGTTCATGAAAATTAAAAACATCTTTATAGAGGATTTATGGCCTATTCCTGTTGTATGAGAAAGGTTTCTGTGTTGTTTTTAGTCAGGAATGTTTGTTCCTTTGAATTCCTATGGATGGATTTTTCCCTGTCTCTTTCTTATTATTGAATTATGAGCACCAGTTTTGAAGGAAGCAAGTGGTTTTCAAACCTGGTCCTGGTTTTAAATGCTGCTACAGTCCATCTGCATCACATGATTGCAGCCCCTTGTCCATAACCACCTGGGGCTGCAGGGCCCTGCTAATCACCCATTTGTTTGTCAGGTATGTGGAGGCAGGGATATACCTAAAATATGCAGGACAGCTGGGTTTGAGGACGGAGTTTGAAAACCCCTGATTTAGATGTTGTTTAGAGGTCCTTTATGGTCTCCTTGTCACTGTGCTCTGGAAGTAACTTTTAGAGTCAACCCATGCTTAGGAAAGGGCCCACTGTAATATGTTTAATCCGTTTGCGGATAATTGGTGATTCTGAATCTGTTCCTAGATGTCTTCATATCATTTTAAAATTAATTTATAATTCAGCCTACTTCAAGTTGTTAGATAGATTCTGTTTAATCAATTTATTGATTCTTAAGTTTAGCCTTACACACAAAAAAATACTTATATACTATATTATCACTCTGTATAATCAAGCTAAAAGATATATTAATTTCGACTTTTTAAACTAAACTGATTAAATAAAAAATAATGGTAATTTTCTAATTTGCTGACATGCTTCCTAATATGGATATTCTGATGTAAAGTAGATTTTTACTGAAAAAAGCAGAGCGGAAATCACAAATAACAGACTTAGGAATTAGGAGAACAGGGCTTTAGGACATCTAAACCGCTAATTTAAGAATCTCTCAGGTGTAAGCTTTTTAAAAGGGATTTCAGTCCGTGTTGTTTGCACCCAGCATTATGGTGTCACAGTGAGGCGAAGGGATCAGAGGCGGTTTAACCTCAACAAACAGCCACGGCTATAAATTCTCTCGGGGTAAGAGGAGACAACGTCCATCTTCTAATTACAGCAGCAGTCTGGTGTCCGGATCAAGTGCATTTCCTGCCACTATCAAATGATGACCTGTTCCTGAGCTGTAATCCCTCTAATTTGGAAGCATTATGTCTTTCACGCCTTCGGGGGAGATCTTGTTTAGGAATTGGTTATGGTGATATTATGGGTGGAAGATTTTTTAGGCATTAGATTATTGAAGTCAGTTTCATTACAAAAAGATTGAACATTCTGTTTTCATCAAAGGGAACCCATGCAGAAAAATAATTGACTAAGAAAATAAAAGAGTAAGAAAAAAGAAATATTTAAACTGAAAATTGTTAAACACATGACTATTATGTAAAGTGGTCTATACACATCATTAATAACATAGAAAATGCTCACAGGTAAAACCCTTTTCAGTACAAATGCTGCTATATGCAATTTAAATTGTTAAACTGTATTTTGATTATACATTTTAAAATAAAGCTCCCTGCATAAAGATGGGGAATAAAAAACAAAAAACAAAACAAAAACAAATTTACAAGCCCTGGTTTTCAGCATCTCTGTCCTAAATTCACAGTTTATAAGGACAGCACCAGTAGTCACTAGATTCTGTTGGAGCACATAATCCAAAGTGCTGGGTCATTTATCAATAACGGTACATTTTTATTAACCTTTTTAAATTGTTTAACTCATTCACTCTGCAAGTATTCAAATCTTGTTTTAGGATTGGTAAAAAAATAAAATTCAAATCCCAAATCTATAATCTTATGAACTCAAAAACCAAAACATTACCTTTTAAAATGTACTAGAAATGTAGTCTATGGAAAAAGTGTAAATAAAGTTCATATTTCAAGTTTTTTTTTAATTCTAAAACACTTTATAATACTAATATTTGTGATCAGCTTTCATTAAAGGTAACTAATATCTGTTGTAATACAGAACTTAATTGATTGAACAATTACTTACTTACTTAAAGGATCTATAATTCTCTCTATGGTTTATAGAAGTCTATATTTGCAGGTTTATATATATATATATATATATATATATATATACATATATATATACATATATATATACATATATATATATAGATATATATGTGTGTGTTTATACATACATACATATATATATAAATATATATATATATATATATATAATTGATATTGAGTTGAACACAGGTTCCTTTTTTCACAGGCCTATTCTTATTAAAAATGAAAGATTTGTTTTAATTAAAATGTTACAAAAGGCCCTTAGATGAATGTACATTTATTGTTTTTAAATACATCAAAATTGGATGAGCAACCTTAAAAAAACCAAACAGATAATGTTAACCAAGTCAGTAGAAGGACACTAACACGGATTGCATAATGCACACAAGGTCCCACACGTGACCTCACAAAACATTTCTGTAATCTATACCTTCCAGTTAATGTAACCTAAAACATATTTGTTTGGCAGCCAAGGTAACCAAGGTAGCCAATATCTTTACATGAACAGGTGCCAAAAATCTCACACCTTTAAAAAAACAAATGTGACATGCAAATCAGACCAAGGTGAAGCAGAGGACCTTCACTATAAATACAGCAGGGCAACGATGAGAGTCACTGCTACCCACTAAAACAGGTAAGAAATGATTGGTATCTTTTGTTCTGGCTTTTCTTATTTTGTGCACATGTAAAGAAGCTATTTGGAACAAAATAGATTACATTGAATATATTCTACTTTCTCAAAGGGTTTGGAGAGAAATGGATTTCATCCAGGTGTTTTCCTTCACTCTGCTGTCCGTTCTGGCAGCCAACGCTCAGATCTTCAGTCCTGGCAGATGTCCCCAAGCTGCTGTTCAGCAGCAGTTTGATGCTGCAAGGGTGAATAGCACAGCACAACATCAGAGAACTTCTAGATTATCAAGGCTTGTCTGCTGAACATGGAGCTGCAGGAACCTTATTTTTATGACTATACTTGTTTTTGCAGTATCTTGGTAAATGGTATGAAATCCAGAGGTTGCCCCACACGTTTCAGACAGGCCAGTGCAGCACTGCCACCTACAGTCTGCAGAGTCCTGGTGTTGTTGGAGTCCTAAACAGGGAGCTGCTGTGAGATTCATTTACTCTCATTTACTGAATCGCATTTATTCAAACTGATTGAAGTTATAGATTAACTCTTTCCTTTTATGTTTCAGTGCGAATGGGACCATTGATGAAATCATTGGGACTGCCAAACCTGACCCAGCTGAGCCTGCCAAACTGCTGGTCTACTTCTTTGAGAGTACAGATCTTCATATAATTTTCACACTCACCCACTGTTTTAAATTTATTTAAGATGTGATTTTAGTTATGCTCCAGTTCAAGCTTCACTTATCTCCTGTGTTTACTTCTCCAGACTCTCCCCCTGCTCCATACTGGGTTCTGTCCACAGACTATGATAACTACGCCCTGGTCTACAGCTGCACCGACCTACTTATGTTGCACGCTGACTTTGTCTGGATCCTGAGCAGGCAGCCCACTCTGCCTGACGATACCCTGGAGGAGCTTCACAGCATCCTGCGGTCCCTCAATGTCAGTGTAGACAAGCTGCTGTACACCAACCAGGATCCAGTGTCATGTAGTGTCATGAACCAGTAAAATAATATCATGCATTTTGTGTTTTTAATTTACACTCTTTATTTTGAGCTTAAATTAATAAACATATGTGCTGAAAAAAAAAACAAGATGGCATCTGTGATGTTTGTTTTTTTTTATTTTTATTTCTGATGGGTTTTAATGGAAAGGATTCTCCCACCATTCTCACTCTCTGCAAATATTCAGTTGTTGAACTCTAATGAAATTTTGTTGTTGAATATATACATAAATTCGCCTAAATCTTTAAATAAGAGGCGCTGAAGTTTTTTTTTTTATTATTATTTTTTAATTTTGACAATGCTTATAATGGTTTACTCAGAACATTGAAAAAGGGCAGCACTTTTAGTAAATGATTTTAAATTGCACAGTAAAGCATTTTGGATTACTAAACAAGAGATTGATAGAGGATTCAAGTAAATTAAATTTCAATTCAGTTTATTTATATAACCATAATAACCCTTATGTTGGGTTATAAATAAAAAATAACAAAAAATAAATAAATTCTCTAATTTTTATAGATGAATTTAACAGTTTGTCTTGAGTTCTAATTCAAATTTTATAGAAAAGTAGGTAGTTTTAACTTAAATTAAGTCGAAAATATGTAAAATTCCTAAATTATAACTTTATATTAATCTAATAATAATTAAACATGATGCACAAACTCGCATTAAAAAAACACCACCTTGCAAAATCTGGGATAATTTATCCGACTGGCGGGCATCCGTGAACAACCATCTATATCAGGGAGACTCCTGGAACTTCCGGGACTTGGGATGTCTGCAGATCATACAGTAAATTTGGTTCGTTAAGCTGGAGTCTGGCTTCCTGGGCCTCCTTCCTGCTTCTGTGCTCCACATCGCCCAACTGTTGGTATCTCCACATCTGTTAAAGGAGAAGTCCGCTCTGTTAAATCTGGCGGTTCCTGCCCAAAGGAAGACTCTGAAAAGGTTAGAATAGAGGTAGATCGGTCTCAATTTTACAGAAATATACATATGTGATTCATACATGCACAGGACAAGATCCACACATGCATGTATTTGTGAAAATTAAGACTAATCTAACTCCATAGGTTTGTGGCTTTTGTTGGTTTCATGCATTTCATTATTGAACTCCTTGAAGCCACTAACCTACATCTCCATCTATAGTTATCCCTGGTCCTTGGTGGATGCGCTCCTGAGTTCAGATAAACTATTTAAATGCTACTGCTGTCACTCCAGCTGAAAATGTGGGTCTTCTGTCTGGTTTGTTACAGACTGGAGTTCAAGGAGACCTACAGACAGAAAAACAGATACAAGAGGTGACTGGACACACAGCCAGGCAGATGAGCACCAAGCCAGCTCCCATGTCAAAATCAAGTTATAGAAACACTTTGATCTAAGATACCATGAATATTGCAGGTGTTCGAATATCATTCGGAAATGAAAGTATTCAATGAAAACAAAAAGTTTAGCAGCAACGTTGACATTAAAGCGATTCTCTCTCTTGAGGGACTTTAATTTAAAAATTCAACATCAGATGTGGGTGAAACTCCGTGAGTCAAATCTGGATGTTTTCTACAACCATTCTGAAATGGAATTATGTATTGGAATTAAATATCACAAGCGTTACCATGTAAGTGCACTAAGGGACCATTCCACACCGATTGTCCACATCATTCTCCATTCAGGATGGGATACTTATTACATGAAATATTACATGGGTCGTTTTATTACTCCTATATCACTGGGATAGGAGTGGCCTCTAATCAGCCTTTAATTCTTACAATTAAGTTTTGTTCATAAAATGCTTTATATATAATTTGTTTGCAGCAACATCCCCATAGATACTTAGTTTTTATCGTCTAGCAGTATAGATTGTGCTCTGAACCAAAATCTGATTGTCCATGGCTGCTTGTGATAGGCTGATCAAACACAGAAGCAGTTGTCCAAGTCATATTATGTAGCCATTAAGATTTCATGATTTTTTTTCATCTTGATGTAGAGTTGCAAATAACCATTTTATATGCAAGATATTTTTATAATAGGGAAACATAATCCAGGCCATTACAACTTAAATTTTTTGTTACTGTATACACACACTCCTTTTATATGGTCTGTCATATTTAATGGCATTTTGCTTTAACCCTTTGTACTCTACTGGAACCAGAATTTCCCTGAAGGAGCAATCCCAAGGGATAAATAAAGTTGGGTCTAAGGGTTACTTAAGGACATGATGCATGTGCACTGCAAGTTGTGTGTCTTAGTATAAAAAAATGTTTGTGTCATTTGACTACCTTTTTAGTTTTCGATCTTGTCACCGGTTTTATTATCTGACAAATAAAATTGATCTGAATTCTCACCGTTTACGTTGACTGTCAAATCAAATGGAATAAAGGATAAGCAAATTTATTTCAACAAAATACGACACAAATTTGCATAGCAAGATACTTTTATACATGATGACAGCTATGACTTTGCACTTCATAGAAACAATGAGACCCTGTACACAGCAGTGCTGTTTAATTCAAGCACTACCCATCTGTCAGGAGCATCTCTGCTCACTGCTTCATGGCGCTGCAGTAGCTCTCCTCCTGATTGGTGGGGACCATTTTGTTCACGTTGACACCGATAGAAGATAAGATGCTGAGCAGCTGCTCCGTGGTCTCTTTAGGCAAGGTGGGCTCCCTGCTGAGGATCCAGGACAGCTCCATGTGGAACAGGCCATAGTCCGTACAGCCGTAGACCAGAGTGTAGCTATCGTAGTTTGTGGACAGGACCCAGTATGGACCAGGAGGAGTACCTGAAACAGGCGGATGAGCTTTAGAGAAAAGATGGCAGGATTCTGATAGATAACTTTAAGAGTGTAATCCCAGACTTGAGTTTGATTTTTAAACCGGTTTACCTTCAAAGAAGGAGACCTCTAGCTTGGCTGGCTCAGCAGGGTCCTTAACTTTGGCAGAGCCAACAACAGAGTTGATGGTTCCATCATCACTGTAGGTAAATAACTAAATCAGTTCTCATGCGTAAATGATTCATGACCTTTTTCCCTTGTTTCAGTAACGTTCAGAAGGAAGCAGACACTTTCACTCACAGCAGCTCACTGTTGAGAACACTGATGACTCCTGGACTTTTCAGGGTATATGTGGCAGTAGCACATTGACCTTTCTGGAAGTTTGTTGGCAGCTTCTGGATCTCATACCATTTACCAAGATACTGCAGAGGAACCACAATTACCATACATTAAAAGACTTAGCTGTTGTCACAAACCTGAACTTTCAGTTTGTCTTGCTTCATAAAACCCAAATGAGATTTTGCTCACCCTGGAAGCATCAAAGTTGGCCTGGACTGCAGGATTGGGACATCTTCCAGACTTTATAACCTGGGTGCTGCCTCCAGCAACAAGCAACAGAGTTAGAGTAAGAACCTGGAAAACCTCCATCTTCCCTCCTTGACCTGCACCAAGTAAAACAAAGAACAGCGTCTTAAAGACGGTTGTCAAAAACCTGGAATGAGAAAGTTCTTGTCTGCTCACCTGTTTGAAATCAGCAGGAGTCATAAACAGCTTGTTTTCGGTGGTCTTTTAAAGCCCCAAAGACCTATCTGTTGGCGATCAATGACATTCTTGAGCCCCTCCTTGTTTTACGATGAATTGCAGGTGTGAGAGCTGGCACCTGTTCAAATAAAGCCACTGTTTAAACAGACTCTTAACAACATTCTCCGTTTTAACACTTCATGGTTACATCATTAGGCTGCTGCATTATTGACTCATCTTAAATATAACAAGGAATGGCTTTAGATATGTTTTAAAAAGATAATAAATAAAAAAAACAACAACACATATTTCATTCTGAATGACGCAAATGTTTTTTTCTTATCTTTTTAAAAAAACATTTTTGCAAAACCTCATTGCTTTTTAAAATCCCAAACATAAATCTATAGAAAAGAAAAAAGAAAAACTTCCATCAACAGCCCACTGTCTCTTCTCATGATGAGAAATGAGATTTTAAACTTTAACCTTCATAGAAACTTAACGAATAAAACAACTTTAAAGCTGATAAAACTTGGAGTGAAAGTGATTTGAAGTTAAAGCAGTACGAACCAAAACTTAAATTTTGAAAGGCACAGAAACAAAGAAACCTGCAGCACCAGGTTGCTCTTGACATTAGTTCCTGTAACAAAATAAAGTTTTGTTTGAAACATGTATAAAATGTAGAGATCCATGCATACTGCATGTTAATTGGATTTATTTTGGATGCATAGATTAAATGAGGATTTATGGATGGAGTTTCTGAGAAGTTTCATTCTGGGTCAAAGTGGTGAAGGACAATGCTCTCCCATGGAACTAAAAATCTATATTTCTGTAAAAATGTTGCTAGGTTCAACTATAATATGAAACTGACTGATATGGACCTGAGGTTTGACCTTCTGTTTTAAAGCAGTGAGGTCTATAAGGCTTTCTTTTTTGGTGTAAAACTACATACCATACATACTTCACTCACGCAGATAAACGGTTCTCAGTTAATGGATAATTAGCAAGATGTCACTTAACCAAACAAGAATAATCCCTGGTTTTAAGGCATATAACAAAAATCCCTTAAATTTAGGTTAACTACTTAATTGATTGTTGCACTGCAAAAACTGATCTTAAAATAAGAAACCTCTTAAAATGAGTGTAGTTGTCCTTAATTTGAGCCCCTAAAATAAAATAAGTAGATATCATTATAAATCCTTAGTTTAAATAGAATCATTGTATTCCATTGGCAAATTGTCTCATTTGTTCAATCAAGGAAAATGCATATATTTTTAAGAAAAATTCACTTACTTAGATTTAGATTTTTGCAGTGTGTTGGACCAAACCTGAAGATAACCAAAGGTTTGCAAGAGGAATTGCATTGATTTTGTCTGGTGTATGGAAAGTCTGTTGTGTCAGTAACAAATACAAGTATGGGTGCTATCAATCAATGACTTCTTCGGATGAAACTGAGTCTCTGTTTAAATATGTAGAGTAAAATCCCTCTTTTCATGTTTTCATTGACCAAATTAAGCTTTTCCAGTTCTAAGCCACACATCTCTAATTTTCAGTCTTCCCACCAGTTTGCTGGAATTTTAAGCCGTTTTCCCCTGACAGGCCTGGTGTGACTACTGTAGACGAGGTTTTCTGTTGCTTTACTCACAGAGACCTTTGAGGCTGTACCGGGATGTTGTGTCGGTAACTCTAAAACCTTGTTGTGCAGGTCATTGTTTATTCATTTTATTTTTTTTTAGAAGACCCATTTAAACCTTAAGCTAGCTGATTTATTTAGCTATTGTTCTAATATTTCCAGACATTATTTTTCTTTAAGATGCCATTCAATTTGTGGAGCACATCAGTCCCTCTTGCAGAAAAAAGGGTGCTGCCAGTTCTGAACTACATAGTTAGGATGATCTATGCAGGCTTGTAAGATCTCCCATTCCTCTCAAATGTAAACAATGCTATTTCTTTCCATTTATTTTAGGCTTGGATTGTGGTTTATTATTTCAGCAGTTAGTCTTTGTCCACCTATGATGGCAACCATAAGTCATTTACTGATGCAAACCTAAACTTGCCATATATAGAGGATAGAAACATATTTCAACCATACTGTTGCTGTATCCTATGTATTTAAAAAAAAAACTATTTTGATATGAGTCAAATCCCCAGAAGTGTCGGTTCAGTTCAGATGGGAGTTTGTCCTTGAGGGTATGACCTCTGTCTTCCCCTGACCAGCAGGAAACATTCTCAAGCTCATGTACACATGTGCTACTAGACACATGCAGGCCTTTCCTCCTTCCCTCTGTGATAATGTACAGTTTGTATATGTGTGCACAGCTGCAGGAGCATCTACAGCATGGCTGCATATGCACTGGCATGTGACTCTCGGCTGCCGTTCTTACACAACATCTTTTAGGTGTGCAAATAAAAAACAACTTTTTCGTTTTAGAAAAACAAAAGTGACCTAGACACAGATCAAAAATCTTTTTTGTCTAGTAAACACACTTAAATTAATTTATTAAAAGGCCAGGCGGTAATATTGACTTGGCTTTATTTTTTTTTTTAAATTGAAAACTGTCCTTTTTTAATATATAAATGAAGCAAACGCCTGACAGCAGAAAGCTTAATATGAGGTAATATAACAGCCTTACCAATTAACAGCTTGTAATTAATTAATTTACCAAACAAAGGGTAACATGGATCATATATCATTTAACTTTGGAGCCTGACAGCCTAAAAAGTCTTGTGCTGCCCTCAAGTGGCCACAAAAACTCAGACTGCAGAATGTGGAATAGCTGAAAAAAAAACATTTTATTGTCTTTTCTGCCTTACAATCTAGAGGCAAAATTGATTTATTTTCTTTTGCATTATTTATTTAACAGAGCGCCTTACCAGATTTTAGTAACTCAAACAAACACTAACAATACATAGAAAGCCAATACTCCCTTTGCAATACTTACTGCTCTAAGTCAGAACAGCAGAGCCCATATGCAGGGTGGGCATACACTGCGTTTGTGTCCAATTTAACTGCAGCAAACTCCAAGCTTCAATATCAGTTTTTGTCTTACATATGCAACAAATACATGTGCAACTTAGACATATGCAGACAACACATATGCAACAATAGCACAACATCTAGACATTTTACATCTGCTTATTTTTGACACAAATGGAACCTCATATATTAGTAATGTAATAGGAGAAGATTATATGGAGATTTGATTGAAAACATCTGGGGAGACCTGCTGTTGAAGCTTACTGGAACCAACCCTTAGAACCAGGTGAAAATGGATCCAGATCCTAGAATAAGAATGTTTCAGAATGAATGAGATGTTGAGAAGCAGTATGGGAAAAAGTCTGGGGCAGTTGGTGAGAATAAATGGTATAAAGCGTAGAAAGGATGTTTGATAGGAAGAAAGAATACTAGCACTAGGGGTAGAAATGAAGGCTGTAGGAGATATAGAGGAGGGGTGACAACTAAAGGAAGTTGGAATTAGGGATGAAGGGTTAGGGGTAATGGATAAGGATGGAAAGATGACTGAGTGGGAACTTAGTGTGGAGGAAAAGGTAAGACAAAAAGAGATAGGGAAGATGGAGAAATGAGCTAGAGATGATGGAGTAGAAGGAAGTTAAGATGAGTGGGACAGATATAGGACATGGATATAGGGATGACGATTATGGAACCAGGATGGGAATGAGAAATATAGTAAAAAGACTATCCTCACATATCTGACTTTTAGAAAATCATACATAGTGAAAAACAGATAAACTCGCTAGATTTCAAACCAGGTTCTGAAGTGATAGAGGCATGAACTAAAACACATTTCCTGATCGTGCTCCCGTAAAAGAAAAAAAAAAAGGTTTTGTTCTGTGTTGTTCAGGTTTTGCCTCCTTCTTTGACAGATGCACTTTTATTTGTGGAAAAGTTTTGTAGCTGATTTCCCGTAATCATGGGCTGAGAGGCAGGGAACACCCTGACAGGTCCATCATAGGGAAACAGTGAGAAAGAGAACAAACAATCGTGGATGCTCTCTCTCTTACTGTACCTAAGGACAACCGTGGGAAGAAAGTCAGAATATCAGGTGAGAACCCATTTAAGCATAAGGAGAACAGGCCTGCTACATGTAGAAAGCCACTAGGTAGGGATTGGAACCTGGAAACTTTTGATTGAAAGCAATTTAAAACGATGCTTGAAATTCACTAAACATTAGTGGAAAGGATACCAGCACAAAAAAGAAAATCAAAATATACAACCCTATGATAAAATTAAGACTCAGAAGTGTCCTCAGAAACCCATCTTTTCATCCTGTATCTTTAACATATTTCTCAACTCTTTCATATTTCCCATTATGCTGCAGCCCATTTGGCTGCTTGCTTGGTTCTTTCCTTGATCTTCTGACCAGTCAAGCTCGTTGCTTTTATTCAGGAAGAAAGCAGTCGCCTCTGCTTTAACCAGGCTTTGATGTGTATGGCTAAAGCTAACAAGTCATTCCTCTCTGAAAAAGATGAGCAAGAAATTGAGCCTTTTGATCTTTTCTTTCTACTTTAATTTAAACGTGTTTGTTGCCAGGGGGCTTTGTCTAGAAGCAGCCAGCGTTTCATAGGTTGTTGCATGCCATTCACAGTGTTTAGATGAAAATATCTATTTTATCAAAGAGCAACAGGACTCTTTCCATAGTAAAATGTCAGCTCAGTGACTCAGGGTCTAACAACTTGTGTCTTATGTGAAATTACTTAAGGTTTCAAACTTTTTTATTTTGCTGCACAACATCTATTTATCTCGTGAAAAAGGGAATTGTTTAAATATTCATATGCCTTGAACCTTTCCCCATTATGGTTCAACCACAAGCGTCAATGTATTTTATTGGTTTATATGATAGATGCATCCAAAGGAGTGCATTAGTACTGCAAAGCCGAAGGAAAATGATGCAGATTGGACACTTCACACAGGAAAAAATATAAAAAAATATGTTATGCTTTGATACTTATCTATTTATTTGGCCAACATAAAAAACAAAACAAAAAACTTTAGGATGGGAAACTCATTCTGTACTTTCCACAGATCACACTATCCCTAAATCAAAATATGGTGATGGCAGCATCATACTGTGGGAATGTTTTCAGCAGGGACAGGAAACCTGGTCTAAATGAATTGGAGGCAGATGGGGCTGAATGTAAGATAATTCTGAGAGAAAACCTTTGAACTAAAAAGTATTTAACCAGCGCTACAATAATATGCTTGTGAGCAAAGCATGTTTTTGTTTGAAGGCCTAGTCAAAGTCAAGCTTACACAGAAACTCAGATTGGATGACACCAAAGGAAGCAGTTAGGCTCAGAAGAACACATATTATCATGTTCAGGGACGAGGATTTGATTCACATGTGACAAAACTACAGGAGACCATAGAAAAAGTTTGAAAAGTTTAAATGCAGACATGCTTGTAAAGGCTAATGGGAATAAACGTTAGTAAATACATGACTTTACATTACCCTTTGCAATTAAGAATTATTAGATCGTTTGAGTGTTTTTTGTCCCAACTTTTTTGACCTGTTGGAAGGGATTTGATTTGCTTAACTTCTAATCTTTAGTTTTTTTCCTCTAACTTCATAATATTTTTAAATAAGGTCAGGGAAATTAGATTTTTGTTTTCTGACCACTCTGGCTTACTGTTGAAATCCTTTCTTCCCCTTATTTGTTTTCTTTTTAGATAAACATTTATTCTATTTTCCATTTCTGGATTGTCCACAATTTCAGCATTTTCATAAAAATTGTTCTTTATTTTTGTGCCTCATTTTATTCCTGTTTTTTTGATCGAATAGTAAGTTAGGATTTCACAACTTCACATCCTCTCTAACTCAAAAAGTACTTTGAGAAAATAACATAAAATTTAAATAAACTGGACACAAAATATTGACTTTGTTTTTACAGAGTAACAGGTTTAATGCAAACTAAAAGAAGAAAGGTTACCCTGAACAATTACAAAGCAGCATTCATAAGTGTTGCATAATGAATACTAGTTATTTAAGGCTATAAAAATAGAATGCAAATGTTTTAACAGTGAAAACGCTCTGTTATTTTTTTTTATCTGCAAGTTCTCCAAACCTGGAAAATATGTTATATTCTGCTCTCTGAATAATGACAGCTAGTTCTAGTCAGTCTGTTTCTGTCTTTGTATTCACGCTGTTTGGTAGATTAACAGCCTCTCCACATCTTGAACTTTTTCACCTTGCAACGGCTCTCCATGCATCCAACGGCCTTCCTTCAGGTAACGGCATGTTTTCATGTATGTATGATCTATTTCTGGACCCTTGCTAGGCTGTTCCAAAAATGTTAGTATCTTTCATGAACTGATTCTTTTCCAGCTGTGGATGTAGACTCCACTGACCAATGATAACAGAAAAGAGTTATCATTGTTGGCCAGGTTTGTTCACATAAACAAGGAATTTGATCTTGGTTTTCTATTAATCTTATTGCATCAACATTTCTTGGAAATACAGAAAATTCTTCACCATCTTAACATGTAACTGATTTCTTCCATTTTACAGTCTGTCTTGATTACATACTAGTAAATCAGGATAATCCAGTGAAATTTAACTAGACTTATACCTGTGTACAGTGAGATTATGTCAACTGTTTAGAAAGCTCCATTCTCACTATCTGCAATTTAATCTTTTTTTTTAATTGAAATTTATTGATCTCACATTGGAGAAATTTTCCTATGCATTCAACCCATCCCCCTGAGGATCGGTGGGCTGCCATTGTGTGGTGTCCGGGGATCAGTGTTGGGTTAAGGGTTTTGCTCAGTGACTCAGAGTGGCAGTCTGTGGGAGTGGGGCTCCAACTCAGAACTTCAGAATACCAAGCTCTATGCCCTCATCACTAGGCCCCCACTCGAGAGTTCCGGCCAAACAATGCAGGGAAACCTTTTTTGGACTATATTTCATGTCACATTGATGACAATGCTTTGTAGCTGGGAAGTTATGACATCTAAAAATTTTTAGAAAGTGTGCACAGAAAGGAAATCAGGTTACTGATGCTTTTACACTTTTGACATTTTCTAACATATTATACAGGATGTATTCAACATTGAACATGGAGAAAACTTAAAAAAAAAAAAAAAAAAAAAAAAAAAAAAAAAAATCCTATCGGCATGCAATCTTTCAGGAATCAATTAACTTACATAACTTGGATAGGTAAAAAAGAAAACAGAAAAATAGGAAAACAGGATCAACATTTCCTATTGCTGCCCTCCTCAAGCAGCAGAACCTTCTGATAATTTTGTAACATTCCAGCTGGTACGTCCCCCATGACTCTCATTTGTTAATAACTGACTTTACGTCTGTAATAAAGCTGGAGAAAAAAAAAAGAATCCCATTGATGACCAAGTTGTGTTAAAACCTTGTGGAGGAAAACGTCTTGGAGTCAAACTCTAGAATCTGAGAGGAGAGAGCACGGATCTACAAAGCAAAACGAAACAGGTAATATACATTTGCTTTATCTTTAAGTGGAAAGTTTATTTCTGGTCAAACTGGGTTTAAAATGTTTAGTTCCTGAAATAAAAAAGAAAATCTATGACCTTTGTTTTTCTGCCGGTAGAGCAGCCTGCTGTTATCATGAGGATGTTCTTGGCTTCGATTTTTCTTCTTATCCTCCCCATCATTCGGGCTCAGGTTCCCCACTGGGGTCCATGTCCAGAACCAGAAGTCCAGCCCGCCTTCACCCTCAGACAGGTAAAGCCAAGGGCTCTCAGCAGGAGTCCTACATTTCTTTTGAACAACCACATATCTTTTTGTATAATAAAAAACAAAATTACCTTCTACATAAACATTCAAATCTTACACTTAAGGTGCTTTTTTTTTCTTCCTTTTTTTCTTCAAAGCGTCAAAATGTCATTTTTGAAAGTAACTTTAATACAGAATATATATAAGTTATGTAGTAAATCAATTTTTCTACTGACTGAAGTTTCCAGGTGTATAAATCTTGTGCGTAATGTTCTGAATTAAAAAAATACAACTGAATTATTCATGTATCATAAAAAATTAAAATGAGAAAAAAAGATCTCAAAGCCTTTGGTGTTTCAGCCAGTGAAGGATGGGGGTGCTGGAAGCAAGTGACATAAAATAACAGCTAGAAAAATCTATATATTTCAAAATCAGTGATGGCAAATGTGTTTTGTTTCTGTCTAAAATGTATTTTAGATTTTTTCCACAATTTTATCACAAGACTGAAATTTGATTTCTTTTCAGTTTCCTTCTCGTCCATAACAGCTTTCAACTTAGTGTGTAGATGTATTTATTAAAAGAAGCAAAATGTAAAAGAAAAGTGCAAGTGCAGACTACATAAGACATTTTAGAGTATATTGTACTTCAGGGAAAAAAATTAGTTTGCAGAGTTAAAACGTCATGCCTTTCCAAGTAGAGGGTATGTCTGAAAGGTAACCTGTCATAGGTTTCTATAAACCCATTCCAGTATGTAGATTTATTCATAGTCTCCTCTCACGTCGCTGTAAATTGGCTCTGAACCTGCGTGTCCCTGTCCCTCACAGTTCATGGGGAGATGGTTTGAAATTGCCAAGCTGCCGGCCCAGTTTGAGAAGGGACGCTGCATCGAGACCAATTTCACTCTGATGACAGACAACTCCATTCGAGTGGTCAGCTCGGAAATACTGTGAGTGGCTGAGAGCGGGTACCTTGTGTAAATGTCGAATTGTTGGGATGGTTTAACGTGGCACAAATTTGTGTGTCTTTGACAGAAAAGGAGAAGTGAAGAAAATCAGAGGAACAGGTGTGATAGAGGATCCGAAGAATCCAGCCAAGCTGGGAATAAGTTATTCTTATGGTCAGTGGGGAGACATTGATGCAAATAGGAGCAACAACACCTCATTTTGCAGTTTTTTTGACCTGAATGTTTGTGTTTTTTCCACCCAGTCCTGCCTTACACCCCATACTGGATTCTGTCCACTGACTATGTGAACTTTGCCCTGGTGTACTCCTGCACTGACGTGCTCAGGCTCTTCCATGTGGACTTCGCCTGGATCCTGGGCCGCACCCGGAGCCTTCCGGACACCACCCTGGAGAAGGCCAGGCAGACCTTTGCCAACAACAACATTGATGTGACCAGGATGATCCCTAGCAGGCAGCAGGGCTGTGACAAAACTCTGTGAGGCTGCATCACAAAAGCGACACAAGATGGCGCTGTTGCTGGTAGAAGAAGATCTCCTCTCTTCCCAGACTCACATACAGACTCAGACTCATCTTAGTCTGTGTGTGGATATGACTGTTTTTTTCCCCCAGATTTAAATACATTATCTGATAATTTACTTAAACATTTTCTTTTTTTTTTTAAATCAAACAATTCTTAATGCGCAAGCCTCAATGTAAAAATGTATTTATTTATTTTGTTTTTAAAAGGAAAACCTCCTGTTATTCTAATTGAATTCACATGACACTGACTGTTCGATTTTCTCCCAAACTGCAAACATGAAGGATCTCATTAGTCGTATTAAAGCTGGTAAAACATGTGGTCTCTCATGATCCAAAGACACGTTTCTGAACAAATGAACCTTTATTTCTTCTATTTAGAAGTATTTTCCTGGTATTGTTCTTCTCAAGAAGGTACAAGTTCAATGTTGGGTGACAGCAGGGAATAGTGAATAGATGCCTGCATTAAATTGGCCGTTATTCAAATATTATATGACAGGGAGTAAAAATATTCATGTTTGGAAAGTCAGAGCCTTGTCTCCAAAAAGACTGATCTTTTATGAAATTTTTCATTTAAATGAAATCATGAATTTTTTTAGATAGTTCTGTTGGTATTGATGATATTCTGAGTAGTTTTGCTTTTTTCAACTTTTATTTACTTTATTCCAGAGTTTTAATGCAAAAAAAGAAACTGTTGGATACAGCTTACAATACCTTATATGCTTTAATTATTCATGAATGTTATTGTATTTTAGCAGGATTTTAGAAGAAAGTCTGATGTAAAATAGTATACAAGTTTGAAATTATGAAACAATGATATATGGTCATCAATTTCTTTTGTTCCCGACAAAGTAAAGGCCTTACAAGTGCTCTAGATGTCAGCATTACACATGTAGAGACTGAAATCCCCTGCTAAGGACAGGCATCTATAGCAAGGCGGAGCAAGGCAAGTCTACAGTATTTATAAACCCCATTTTAACAAATATTAGCACATTTTAAACAACAAAAACATAAGAAAAAAACATATTTAAGTGCATATCAGTGGCATCATGAAGAAACATGCAGAAAAAGTTGGACCATAGACTGAAACTCACAACTTAACTCACTTTTAGTTAATAGTTTAAATAGAAAAGTCATAGTCATCTTTAAGTAAATGTGTTTTATTATAGTGATTTGAAAGAATTAAGGATTTCAGCATTTTAGCAATTTTTTTAGGAGTTTATTCTACTTTAGTGCAGCATAAAAACTAAATGCTGTTACTCCATGTTTCCACTCTTGGTTCTGGTGATACAGAGAGACTTGAACCAGAAGACTTGAGTGGTCTGAAAGGTTGACACAGCAGCAACAGATGCTCCCACCTTAGCTGTGAATCTCTTGTTTCCCTTTCAGCTTAATACAGTAGTCGGAAATCTTTGAGAACCCAAGGGCCATTTTTCACCCCTTTCAATAAAACTTTACCAAAGGCCCAAAACTTCTATCATTGCTTTAAAATAAACCCTATTACCGGTAGGTTTCAGAATTAGCTTTAGTAGAAAAGCTAATTTTTAATAATATTCATTCTTCTTAGCAAAAAATCTAAACATCAAATTTAAAGAGAAAAAGGTCAAAAAATCCTTAAACAGAACTTTCTTTGAGGAAGACAATGTTAATTAGCACCTTGATTGCAGCTTAGTATGGAAGCCCATTTCCGCTATATGAGAGTAAAAAAATGCCAAATAGAAAGTCATAAAAGAAAAGTCAATAAAAGGACTAAACTAAAAAATAAAGGCCATTCTATTCTGAAAAGTGTTAATATGTTGAATGAAAACCCAGAAATGTATGTTCTTTAACGTCCTGTATATTTAAAACCTCAGCCTAGTTCTATGAAATTTCTGGCCTTAGCCTCATGTAGTAGCCTCATTTTGGTAAGTTTGCCTTTGTGCCATATTGTTTCTATGTAAAAACAATGGATTATTAAAAGTTTTAGATATATACACCTCATTAACACTACTGTGGTTTACTTTTGTTTCATTATTCCTGAGCTGTCTGCTGGGTTGGTCGTTCTAGCTAATGCTGTTACTTTGCTAATATTCTCCAACAAGCATCAGAGGTCTTAATATAGAGGCTGGATTTATACTGATTTTTAATTACATTACTTACAATTGCTCCTCTAGTTTAACTGTCGTTTTTCGAACCCTGCCTCTGTGTTTAAGCTCCCTTTCTTAACTCCCTTTCTTTGCCCTCTTAAACTTTTGTTTTTCTTCTGCTTATCTAAATGTAAGTTTTCTTATCATTTAAATATTAAAACTTTCTTTTTGACACTCTCTGCATATGTGTCCTTATCAACCCCAAAAGGACGTTTATTTTTAAAATAATTTTACTTTCAAGGCTCCAAATTTATGTAACATTTCCATTCATCCATTCATTTATTCCCTGCTTAATTCTTGACCTTGTGATCTTCAGCACTCTATGGGCAAGACCATAACCTAACAGTCATGTTAATTTGTTGCAGGCTTTATTAGATAACCATTGAAATATTTGTGAACTGCGACCTATTTCCCACATAAAATGCAGGACTTTTTGTTACTTTAACAAATTTAAAACTAACACAGGTTTGTAACACAGGCTCTGTTCAAAGGAGTTTAATTGGCTGCTTTAGTAAGACAATGCAGAAGGTGTTCAGTAAAAAAACCAACTAATACAGAGGGAGAAAGGAGAAATGAAAGCTTTCTTTACTGTTTCAGTTTGAAGAAAAGAAGGAATACAAAAAAATAAAAAAACATTTGAACCTAAGGCATAACGACTTTCAGTTTCCTGAAGAAATGTGTTTAATAAGAGGAATCACCTCAATAGGAGCCTTGTAAGCCAGAGTCATCTTGTGCATATAAGACCTTACCTTCAAGGAACGCATGCCAGCTCTAGCATACAGTTCACAGTGGAGGATGAGGCACCTACAGCAGTGATAAATCTCACTTCACAGTGGTAGACTTGAGTCAAGGACTGTAGGCAACTTGTTAAAGCACACAGATTTGCAATATCCCCATAATCGAGTGCAGAAAACATAGCTTTTATCAGAAGCGTTTGAGTTATTAAGGAAAAACATCACTTGTTTGTGTAATAGGAACACATGCTTCACCCTTAATGGAAGGAAAGCTAATTCTCTGAGGGAGGTAGATAAAGCTCAGAGCAATGGAAAGGAGGCCTTTCAACCTCAAAGACCTTGAGCTCATCACCAAAGATAATTAATTGAAATACCAATAGAACTGTGCAAAATCATCATCAGATCATAAGCAGGGTTTCAATCCTTCAAGGACATTTTTAATTAGAGATATCTAAAAACACATACTTAAAACTGTGATATTATTATTAAGAGAATCTTTAATCACACATATCAATCTCTAAACAAAGAGTTTGGTTGAATGGAAATAATCTCAAATTAAAATCTCTAAAAATGTTGAGATTAAATGTAGCTGAACAAAATATCCAGCTTTACAAACCGTGCTTAGGGTACATTAAAAAGTGAATGTTAAAAAGTCCGACATCAATAAAACCAAAAGCATCATAGACTCGAAAAGCTTAGTTATGAAAAGTATATGCAAACATCATGGGTGGTGATGTTTAAAAATTGTTCTATATTAAAGTGTATCTCACCTCAAAATAATCTGTCATGATTCTGCACTTTTATGGTTCTGTTTAAGTTTCCTTTTTTATTTTTCAATACTTGGATTCATGTCTTTCTGTGTTTTGTAGTTTATAGGTTTCATTTCCATTTTGTGTTATTCTAGTTGTTTAGTTGTCTAGTTATGTATTTCTTGTTTACCCGCTGTTGCCCTCTTGTGTCAATCTCCTTCTCCCAGCCTCCTTCTTGATTCCTCTGTCCACACCTGCTCCCGATCTGCTCATTAGCCTGTCCTTTGTTCTGGCTCCTATTTATACGCCTCCTGTTCAGTCACTGTTTGCTGGTTCCTCGCCATTTCCTGGCTCCACATGTGTGTTTTTCCCTTAAAGCTACAGTGTATAATTTTCAGCGACATCTAACGTCCAGACTGCAGACCGCAGCA